AGCAAGAAAGACATCTAGGAACTACAGGGGTTCTCACCAAACACCAAATCTTCAGATGCCTGGATCTTGGATTTCCCAGGTTCCAGAGTTGTGAAAAATGCATCCCTGTTGTTCACAAACCACTCAGTCTACAGTCGTCTATTAACAGCAGGCTGGATGGACCAAGACACCTTGGGTTGCAATAACAGATGGGTTTAAGTATTTTCCTTCTGCTTATCAACAACTGTCAAGTGCCAGTTCTTATCTTTTTCCCCATATTTCTATTAGGTTGTTGATTAAATGGAGACAACCTTTATACAGTATGGACTTGAAGCTTTGTGATTTATAACTCCTCCAAGTCTGAGGCTTCTAATGATGTTTTTGAAAAACAAATTGCTGAAGGGGCAAGGGAGCATTTTAAAAGCTATATATCCCTTTGCACCTTATTTTGTACTATGTACATCTATTATAAAAAAATAATGAAATTTAAATTAAAACAAGAGATTCATCTCTATCACTTTATCCTGGTTAATTTTTCTTTACACTTCTTTCATACTGAAGTTACATCATTCATGAATTCTCTCATGTATGTCCTTGAGTGAGAGAAGCACCTTCTCCGTCCACAGTTATATCCCCAGTACTTCAAATACTGCTTGGAATGAAGTAGTTCCTAAATGAACATTGTGCAAGGAAAGGAGGAACTAGAAATAGAGGAGAAGAGCAGCCATGAGAAGCCTCCCTGTGTTGCCCAGGCTGGCCCCAAATCCTGGGATCAAGTGATCCTCCTCCGGCCTCAGCTTCCTGAGTAGTGCGTGCCATCACAACTGGCTGCCAAGATCCTGTTTTCAATGTTTTTGAATATTTACCCAGAAGTGAACTGCTGGATCATATAGTAATTCTATTTTTGATAAAATTTAAAATTATTTCTGTCCTTGGGATTGAACCCAGGGGTGCTTAACCACTGACTCCCAGCCCCAGCCTTTTTTTAGTTTGTGAGACAGGGTCTCCTTAAGTTGCTCAAGCTGGGGCTGGGGATGTGGCTCAAGCGGTAGCGCGCTCGCCTGGCATGCGTTCGGCCCAGGGTTTGATCCTCAGCACCACATACAAACAAAGATGTTGTGTCCGCCGAAAACTAAAAACATAAATATTAAAATTCTCTCTCTCTCTCTCTCTCTTTAAAAAAAAAAAGTTGCTCAGGCTGGCTGAAACTTGCAATCCTCCTGCTTGAGCCTCCCGTGTCGCTGGGGTTGCTGGCATGCATCTGGTTTCTACTTTTTATTTTTTGAGGAGCCACCATACTGTTTTCTACAGCGCCCACTCCAGTTCATGTTCCCACTAACCATGCACTAAGGTTCCAATCCCTCCATCTTGCCAGGGATTGTTCTTTTGTCATTTTTTCATAGTTGCCATCCTAATGGTTGTGAGGTAGCACTTCTCTCTGAGAATCAATCTCTCATTTGTCCTTCAGGGATAGAATGGGACTCAATTATGTCCAGCTGATGCCATGAAAGTCAGTACAGATGGTCCCTGGTTTATGATGGTTTGACTTTACAATGGTGAAAAAACCATACACATTCAGTAGAAACTATACTTCAAATTTCGAATTTTGATCTTTTTTCTGGACCCACTATATGTAGTATGATACTCTTTCTTGTGATGATGGGCAGTTACAGTGAGCCACACTTCAAGGGCAACCACCAATGCTGTACAATACATGAGACAGTCAACACTTTGTTACAAAAAAGGCTTTGTGGGCTGGGGTTGTGGCTCAGCAGTAGAGTACTCGCCTAGCACTGGGTTCGATCCTCAGCACCACATAAAAAATAAATAAATAAAATAAAGTATTGTGTCCAACTACAACTAAAAAAAAATATTTTAAAAAAAGGCTTTGTGTTAGATGTTTTTGCTCAACTGCAGTTGTAATGTGAGTGTTCTGAACAAGTTTAAGGTAGGCTGGCCTAATTTTTGATGTTCAGAAGGTTAGCTATATTGAATGTATGTTTTTGCACTGAGGATTGAACCCAATGGGTGCTCCATCATTGAGATAGAGCCCAGTCCCAATTATTTATTTAGACATGGTTTCACTAAGTTGCTGAGGCTGGCCTTAAGCTTGCCATCCTCCTGCCTAAGGCTCCCAAGTTGTTGGGATTGCAGGAATGCACCACTACCCTTGGATTATTTATTTATTTTTTCTTTTCAGAGTGCTGGGAATTGAACTCAGGGCCTCCAACACAATGGACAAGCACTTTGCCACTGAGCTACACCCACAGCCCTAATGCCTGGCTTATTGAATGCATTTTTTTACTTATGATGGGTTTGTTGGAAGGAACTTAGCCCCACTGTAAGACAAGGAGCATCTGTAAGGTCTGTGTACATCTGCAGCTTGGTACTTTTAGTTACATCTTTTCAGTTTAAGATGCTCCAGACAGAAACTATTGTAACATAAAGGTAGGACATAAGGAATATGAAAAGGGAATGGAAGAAGGCAATCAAAGGGTACTTCCAGCTTTTACTCTTCCTTCCACATCATAGATGCACATGATTCAGTACTACATAAGGTCTTTGGGCAGAACAATGCTTTCTTCCTCCTCCCGCTTCCTCCTTCCTTTTCTGCATGGCATACACAGCATACCTTGCCTCCCATTCCCAGCTCTCTGTGGGACCATGATGTCATTTGATGTAAGTGCAATTAAAAGTCCAATGTTCTTCTTCAGTTCTAACCACTATGAACACCAGAAGTATCTTGAGTTAAGTACTGTCATATTCATTTCCTAACTTGGCCATTTACTGACTCACTAATGTATGGCTTTGGTGAGAAAAGCTCCTGGGTGGAAACTTCATACCCTAGTTACTTCTCTAGCTAATGTGGAATGCTATGAATTGTCCATATGATTTCTTTCAGTTCCTACCTGCGGCTGATACTCTTTTGGGGATGTTTTCCTAACTCATCAGAGTCAGGAGCAGAATGGGTGCCATGCTATGTCCAAACATGCCTGGCTCCTGCCTCTCACTTTTGACATTTATCCAAACCCACCCTGTTCTTTCTCACCTCTGTGTCCCTGTGCAGCCAGATTTCTTCTTGCATTGCCCTTGCCATCCACCCTCACCTAGCTGTCTACTCATGTAGACTCAGCATAAATATGCTTTCCTCTGGGAGTTTCCCTTGGTGTAGGTGGGCTATGTGCCCTTTCACGGTCTCCCACAACAGATGTGCTCAACCCCACTTACCATAACCTACATTTCAGTTGTACTGCTACATGAAGCACACATTTAACTTAAAGGAATTCCACTATCTCTGCTTGGTCAAACAGGGAGAAAGAAAGTAACAGTTTAAATAGGGCCATGTGGATCCATTCAACACTCCTCTGTGAGCAAGCAGCGGGATATCTGACTGCATCTCCCTCCTTAGTTTTTATTTTTGAATCAGGAGCCTCTGGCCTCTCTGGGAATGCTTCTCGTGTTTAAAGATACATGCTTCACAGAGCAGGAAATGTTCCAGGCGTAGCAAAATGTTGGGATGCTGAGGAACAAAAGAAAAAGAAGGAAGACAAGAAGAAAAGGCAAACAAGACATATCTACCTATTATCAAAGCTGTAGGAACTGGGGTTCAGATCCCAATTCTGTTGCCAACCAACCAGGTGTTTTGGCCAAATCACTAACTTGTCTAGACTTCAGATCACCTGGTGTGTCCGCCCATCTTTTATGGTCACCCTGAGGCTTCAATGAGTAATAAATGTAATGTGCCCACAAATACCAGTCCAGTAACAGTTCGTATTACCCCAGCCCACCCAGCCCTCCCTCCAGGAACCCTGAACCATTGGATTCCATCAAGCGAGGACAGGAAGAGTGTCAGGGTAAGGAAAAATTTCAGGCGATGTAGTATCTCCAAGGTTCCAGCTGAAGTTGTCCTCCCTGGACCCTGGTTGGCACCCAGGGCTGCCTCAAGCTCTCCAGTAGCTGCACACTGGCTATAAGAACCTGGTTATAAACCATCTACGGAAATTTAGGAACCGGCCCTTTCCCAATCCCCTGTGTGCCAACCTTCTCATTACACTCTTCCCTCTGGATGACATTTCGCTGCGTCGGGGTCTGTGTCCCTCCTGACAGACAGTTCTTTCAGGAAAGATGCGCCCGCAACCCTTGAATGCTCAGCCCAGCCCTTGGTGTCCCAGGGCTGGAGGCAAGAAAGTTCGTTGGTTGAAAGCTTAATGCCTGGATCACAGTTAATGATGCAGGAGCCCACCTCCTTCCCGAAGCCCCGACCCTACAATTGCTGCTGTGGCTCCATCCGGTGCAGCGGGGCCCTGGGGATGCGACCGCAACTTTTGCACACAGTAGGCGCTCTGTAATCCATTCAACCCGGATCTGTAATCTGTAAATGCCACCCCAAGTAGCTGGGCTCAGGCTGCCGCCCAGCGCCGTTTCCCGGCTCTGTCTGGGATGCCGAACGCTCCCGGATTGTGGGAACCCGCGGTCCCAGCCTTCGGCCCCACCCCCTCCAGTCCAACAGCACCGAGTCGCCCCTAGCAACAGCAACAGGGCGGCGGTCTCGGGCCCCGCTGATTGGCGAACTCCGGAGGAGCCGATGTCGTCACTTCCGGTACCCGGATGCAGCGGAGGAAGCCGAGAGGCGGCCATCTTGGGTCCGTGAGGCTCGGCTGTGCCGGGGAGCGGCGGCGGCGGCTGCCGGCAGGGTGGGGGCGAAGTGGAAAGCGAACGGGATAAGGGAAAGCAGCCAGGCGCAGGCGCCTCCCCCACGGCCCCCTCCATGGTCGGCGCTCGCAGCTCGCGGCGGCCTGTCTTGAGCTCCACCTTCTTCACATCCTCCTGCTGCTCCTCCTGTCTCGGGGCTGCCCGCGACGCTGTGTGGAGGCCCCGGCGCTGAGCTCCGCGGCGCGACGGGCGGGAGCGGCGGAAGAGGCGAGCGGGCCGGGGCCCGCGGGACGCCCTGAGGCGCGGGGACGCCGGCCGGCCGCCCGTCGCGCCCCGCCCCGCAGGGCTCCTGGCCGCGGCCGCCGGGGCCGGGGGAGAATGAGCCCCGGAGCCCGCGGGGGCACGGCCCGGGCCAGGCCCCGGATCTAGACCGAGGCCGCGGGGCGGGCGACTCGCGGCCGCTGCTCGCCGACCGCCCAGGGCTGGGCGGTTTTGTTTTCGCCCTCGCGTGGTGCAGAGTCGAAGCGCAGTAAGATGTCCACTAGGACCCCCTTGCCAACCGTGAATGAACGAGACACTGAAAACGTGAGTGGCCCGCGCTGCCGGTGCGGACGCGGCGGGCGGGTCGCGGGTGTCCTGCGCTCTGGAGTGGCGTCGCCGACCGCGGCTTGTCCCGGTGTGTGTGGGATCACCGCCGCTGGCCGTGCACGTTTGAACCCAGGTTAAAAGCATGTGTCCTCCGTGCAGGTTAATGGGAATCCATCTGGTTGATGGATTGTGGACTGGCCTTTCTGCTCCTTTAAAATGGTTCGGAAATAAGTTTAATGACAGTCGCTGAAACCAGGTGCCCAAGGTGGGATCTTTGTGGCTCCCTTAGTTGCTCCACGACTCTGCTCGGAGAGTTGTCCCCGGAGAGAGGAGTCCTCACCAGTCCGGCGGCGAGAAGTTGGCTAAGCGTTTTGAAAGGCGGATGTGTAGTGAAGCTCTGCCTGCGCTCGCTGCCCAGCTGAAGCACGGCCCTCCCGGGGCTTCCCGTTTTCCTCCATCCTAGAAAGTTTGGCTTAGAAGAGCTCTCAGGTCCCTTCCAGCGCTCACATCCCGTGCGTCTATAAAAGGTCTCTTTGATTTTATTCATGTGGACCTTTAAAAACTGCCAGAACAGCATTGTTAAGGAGTGACAGCTTGTAGTAGAAATTACATTGAAATGTTTGGCTCTGTCCCAATGTTTTCTGAACTCTTTCTCCAGCATTAGGTTCAGAAGTGTTGGTTATCTTAAGTAAAAATATCTAGCAAATAACTCTTAAAGAAATTACACTGGCCTTTCATTATAAGTGTTACGAGGTAGTTGCTGACAGGAGAATGCCATCTCTTAGGAAAAGCTTCCTTGCTCATGGTGATTTCATGCTTTCAGTAGTGTTCTGAAATGTTGTGGCAGAGTGGTACCAAATGCCTTCATTTTAATCTTCAAAATACCTCTTGGTTGGTTGATAGCTATTGGGTAACTTAATCTGTTTATGTAAACTGTAGTCTAAAGCATCCCCTCAGTACAATAATGTATAGTATTTAATGCTCTTTAATCTGGCAGTGGTGTAGGTTCCTACTCCACATGGATTAGAAAAATTACATAAAAAGTAATAGACTAGATCAGTCTGTGACCTTGTTCTTTTTTCTTTTTTTTTCTGATGGGGGGTCCTGCTGTGTAGTACAGGATGGGGGCACACTCCTGGGCTCAAGAGAACTGACACGCCTGGCTTTAGGTGGCTTTTATATGTGGCCTTTTTGAAGAAACCCATTTCTGACCTGAGCATTTTCCTGTTCTTTGACTACCCTGATGAATGGAACAAACAAAAAGATGTTTTGGTTGGCTTTGAGTTTTGATCTTCACTTAGTCAAAAACCTTACATTGAATCAGAGCAGGAGCTCCATACTTGCTCAACTGAAGCCAGCGTCAATAAAAGCAGATTTCTGATAAAGATTTTCTGTTAGGTCTTCTTTCAGTATGCATTTCAGTGAGGGACAGTAGGAGAAGATATGTGCTATTTTCAGTTAGGAATACATGGCTAGCTGGTATTTGTGATTATTTATTGACAGACTTGGTTCATTCTTCCTCTATTCTTTGGTTATTTTGTTCAATTATTTTGTAATTTTTGCATAAGTTGTTAGAATTACTCTCTCTGTTCTTTAGAAACAACTTAGGGTGGGTGTGTATCTTTTTTTAATATTTATTTTTCAGTATTGTGTCCAACTACAACCTTTATTTATTGTTATGTGGTGCTGAGGATTGAACCCAGGGCGCTAGGCGAGCACTCTGCTGCTGAGCCACAACCCCAGCCCCAGTGTGTATCTTTAATATCATGTAATGTATTTACAATTGGAGTGTTGATACTGTTAAAATCAAGAGGTTCATAGTACATCATTACAATCATTACATTCATTCACCTTGCCCTTTTCTCTCTCTCTTTTTTTTTTTTTTGGTACTGGAGATTGAAATCAGGGTGCTTAACCACTGAGACATCCTCAGCAGGCTCCTGCCCCCCTTTTTAAAAAATATTTATTTTTTAGTTCTAGTTGGACACAATACCTTTATTTATTTTTATGTGGTGCTGAGGAACCCAGGGCTCCGCACATGTTGGGTGAGCGCTCTACCGATGAGCCACAACCCCAGCCCTCCTCCCCTTTTTTTAAAAAAATATTTTATTTAGAGACCAGGTCTTGTTCAGTTGCTTGGAGCCTTGCTAAGTTGCCAAAGCTGGCTTTGAATTTAAGATCCTCTAGCCTCAGCCTCCTGAACAGCTGGGATTATAGGCGTATGCCATTTCTATATTTTTGGTACTGGGAATTCAAACCAGGGGTACTCTACCATTGATCTACATCCCCTGCTCTTTTTATATTAAGACAGGATCTTGCTAGGTTGGTGGGGGGGCCTCACTGAGTTACTGAGGCTGGTCTTGAACTTGTGAACCTCCTGCTTCAGCCTCATAAGTCTCTGGGATTACAGGCATGTGCCTCCATTTTTGATGCCATGTTCCATTTTTAACTCTTGTGTTGGCATGTTCTTAAAGTAGCTGTGGTGCATGTGTCAATGTTACACTTCAGGTTCACATTCGTCATAGCCCATGGACAACTAGTGTTATACTTCCTGCCAGTTGAGTGGTGAGTGTACATGAATGAATGGGAGCTCTCAGTCTGTTGAGAAGTTCTTTTGTTAAAGTTAGGTTTATCGAGATATGACGTCCACACTTTTAAGTGCACAGTATGATGAATTGGGCAAATGTATAGTCATGTAACCACCACTACAAACAAGATATAGAACCTTTCTATCACCCCAAAAGGTCCCTTGTGACCCTTTACAGTCACTTCCCTCTCTTCTTCAGCCCCTGGCAACCACTGATCTGTTTTTTGTCTCTCTAATTTTACCTTTTCTGGAATGTTTATAAATGGAGTTATGTAGTGTATAATCTTTTGAGTCTGAATTCTTTCATTTATCATAATACTTTTTTTGTTTTTGCTATGCCAGAAATTGAACCCAGGAGTGCTCTACTACTGCACATCCCCAGCCATTTTTTGTTTTTGTTTTGTTTCACCCAGTTTCCCAGGCTGATCTTGAACTTGCCATCCTCCTGTCCAGCCTTTCTTGAATTGCTGAGATTGCAGGTGTGGGCCATCTAACCCAGCTGGTTCATTCCTTTTTATTGCTAAGTAGCATACCACAATGTTTTATCCATTTACCAGTTGATGGACATTGTAGATATTATGATTATTAGAGCTTTTATTTTATAGAAATACATTCCCTTTTGCTTATCCTGGGAATCTCATTAACATTTTAAATGATTATATACACTTATGATAATAATATTGCTTATTAGATCAAGAATAATAAAGAGGGCTGAGGGTGTGGTTCAGTGGTATAGTGCTTGCCACACAAGAGTCCCTAGGTTCATTCCCCAGTACAGTTAAAAAAAAAAAAGAATTTAATAGGTAATCTGTAACAAGAATATTATTTTCATCCTTGTATACAATTGTTTTTATTTGACTTTTAAATGTCAATATCCACTTTTAGTAGGTGGGTATATAAAAATTCTCTGTCATCACATTTTATAGCCCAAAGAACTAGTCAAATAATCTAGTAAGGATGCTGAAACTAAGAGAGGTGACAGGAGCTGCTTGAGACTATGGGCTGTTTAAAAGGAAATCCTCTACTAGACTCCAGATCTCTGACTCAGTCTGTTGATTTTTTGCTGTACTAGGCTATTTCTCAAGACCTCATATGCAGATTATTAAAAAAGGGGATGTAGATGTACCAATTCCCAGAATATAAATAAAGCAAACCTTTTTTTTAAGTCTGGAAAAAAATTTAAAAAAATTGTAGTTGTAGATGGACAGACAGCATGACTTGCTTTTTTTTTTTTTTTTTTGGTATGTGGTACTGAGGATCGAACCCAGTGCCTTACACATACCAGGCAAGCACTCTCCCACTAAGCCACAACCACAGCCCTACTTTGGAAAAATTTAAACAAGTAAGTAGAGACAATGATATTTAATAATGATCCTCAACTGGGGTGAGTTTTGCCCTTCAGTGGGCACATTTGGACATGTCTAGAGACATTTTTGGTTGTCATAGCTAAAGGGGAGGTTGCTGCTCATCAAGAACTCTGCTGAACATTTTAGAATACATGGAAAGCACCTTACCCCTCTAAGAATTATCTGGCCCAAAATGTCACTAGTGCCAAAGTTAAGAAACCCTTGTATTGGTGTGTAGTGAGCTCCATATATTCAGCAGTTCAGTGTCCAGTCTTATTTACTTCCTCTTCCAAGAAGTAAATTTAGTACATTATATCATTTCTCAAGCTTTTAGAATAGAACCTCTTTTAAAAATATAATTAGTACCTTTATCATATATATAAAGTCAGTGTTAAAGTTTCCTCAGTTTTCTGAGTTTTAAGTTGTTCAAATTAGAATCCACCTTGAACTCATTTATTACAATTGGAAATAGGATGCTTTTAAAACGCAACAAGAAAGTTGTGTTTTAGTTTATGTCCTACATTTGGCTTGTATAGGGAGCCATGGGTGTATCTGTTTCTTACTGGCAAAATTAGAAACATATTTTTCACTTAAATTTCAAAGCATATAACACTTTGTATGCCTCGGTTATTTGCTAAAGGACCAGAGGCCCCACAGCTTTTCCAGTTATTTCTTTAACAGCTCTGGATATGCGTGCATTATGTACTTATTATTAGTTAATGCAAAGAGTCTTCAAAATTTCTTCTGTGAAATAGACAAACTGATGAAGTTATTCTATAGCCATTTGTTACTTGGGTGTGGCTGAATTAACCTGTTGAGCAAATAGAGTACCCATTATGTGTATGACACTGGGATAGGTACTTCATAGGATATCCTATTTATCTGGGAACCAGATCATTCCTGCTAGTCCCTGCAGAACAAACCACCTAGGGCTCTGTGAAACTAGTTTTGTAAACTCTCAAACGTGAGCAAACATTTGAATAACCTAGAGGGTTGTTAAAGTGCTGATGTCTGGGCCTCACTCCCAGACCTTGGACTCTACAGTTGGCACTCTAGACTGCATT